CATTAAGATAATTAAAAATTAATCAGTTATCAAGTTATAAATAAAATGGAAATTAAAATCGCATAAAAGGAAATTATTTTTTAAAAATAAACTATAAAATGCTATACCTTATTAGTCTATTATTTTTTGAGCCAATCCTGTCCTGCTGTTTCTGTGATTTCCTCAAATACGGAAAATAGTTGTTAAAAGTTTCCAGTTGATTTAATTTCGACTTTGGGTTCATCGATTGCGTCTTAATCGAGTCATCAAAAAGCGGCTAAATAAACAAAAACTTGCAAGCTGTTGACACAGAAATTCATTGAACTCGTTTCGTACTCGCACCGAAGAGTCAAAGGCCTCTCGAAATGAATTTTTAACCAAAGTTTGCAATATTTTTCACGATGCTTGGCTGCCATCTCTGCTTCATTTGCTAAATGATCCATAAAATGTTCGGATCTGAATCGCAGACTCAGCTCGAAATTTGGCCAAACACACAATTTCATTTAGGATGCAAATGGGGGAGCAAGCGATGGCCTTGTGGATAGACTCTTAAATTATATTTATTCCTCAATGGTAATTTCATTTAATGGTTTAATCCCAAAAATTAGCTTGCTGACTGAGCACCCAGTAAGGCATGAAAAGTCTTTAAAAATAAAATATAGGATGAGGAATTCTTGAAGACTTAAAGACGTAGTAACTGGTTTATTAGTAGTCTCATTATAAGTCCCGCTTCAAATCAGATAAGACTTATTTGCAGAAACATGCTCAAGCTTCTCAGCTCCTCAGCTGATCATTTTGGCAAAGTTCAACTGCCTTTCGTCTTAAGACGACCCACTAAAAACAAAGGAACCAGAAACCAAGGGAAAAAAAGAAGCAAGAAACTTATAAAGACTTTAACCCGTTAAGATATACCCTTTTTCTTAAGTTATGAATCTAAAAATTAAATAAAAGTTATGTCATTCCAATTAAATAAAGTGCATAAACTGCATCTGCATTGTCGCATTTTTTAAATAAATTTTCCAATAAAAATTGCCTTCTTTTTATGACTTGTAGCCCAAAGAATTGCAGGGTACTTGGGGCCAATCGGAAAACAGCAAAAATGACACGTCTGCTACAACAAGAGAGGCTGCCCAAGTCGATCCGGGCACAAAAGCCGGAGTCCAACAATTTGGGTCAATTGACTCACACGAGAAGCGAGAAAAAACCAGCATCCCAAACAACAAAAAAGATGAAATAAAACTTGTTCTCAACGTTCTCTGACAATAATAACCGCAAAAAACGAAGAATGTATTTTATATAGGAGGCGAGATTCAAGTGGAAAAAGGGGCAACGATGGTCAGAGATAAAAATTCGCCCAATATGTGCCCGTCGTCTATCTAATCAATAGAATAATAGAAGCTAGACAACAGAATCCAATTGGCTGCGAAACTGTCGCATAAATCACTCAGAACTGTCGTCAACTGCATTTATTTATGAAGGAAGGCCATCTCTTCTAATCGATTTACAACTTGATTTGAACTGAAAACCAATCGAAAGATAATCCATAATTTAATTGCTACAGGAAAGCAGTGGGCGGAGGAGAGCCACTGTCTTGGAATTGGATCTGACTTTTGTGGCCAGAGGATGCCATCCATGTTTCATATGAGGAGAAACTGCTCTATATGTGGGCATTTCAGGTTCCCTTTGCTTATTTCTGGTCGTTCAGTTGATAAATTACAATTACATGTTTATTGTCAATAAGTTAGCACTTTATAGACTTTATTTATAGACTGTTTTGTTTTTAGCTTCTGTCGACCCCCGGCCGCTGCCAATTAAACAAGTTAACAAAATGATAATGCTGTCAGTTTAGTGGCTGTGATAGTGATTATAAAACCTGTGATTTATTAGTGAATTAGTTTTTCAATAAATATTGTTAGGAGAGGCGCTTGTCGCATATTGTACGGCTGTAAAAAGACCTTAATTACTTTGAATATCTTAAATTTTTCCTTTATACTTCTTCAAATTAAGTATTTTTCGCAATTTTTGTTCATCTTCTTTGCCATCTTTCAACAAATTATGCAAATAAGAAAAATGCAGCAATCGGCAAGCCAGCAAAGAAAATTGTTATGGCTTTGGGGGTACATCTTCTTCTGTTGTATTTTTTTTTTTTTCTGTTTTTCCACGCTTTTCCGCCACACTTTTTTGGATTCATTCAAGCAAAGGTTTCGTCTTCTGGCCGTCCGCTTTGTATCTGTAATCACTTAGTCATTGTTTTGTTTTTTTGTTGTTGCTACCTTTTTGCGCATTAATTACCAAGTGTTTCCTTGTTTCGTTGTTTAATTAACTCGTACGTAGTACCTATATACATATATTGTATTTAACCACAAGCACCACAACCGACCCACTAACATTTATCGCGATCGCAAGAAGATAAATTCACCTTGTGCCTAATGAAATCACTTCAAAATCACTTCCAGCTTATCATTTTGTGCGAAATTTTCAGAATGAAGAGGGATAATAAATATTAACGATTCTGAATCACACACACTTCCATTGTCTGGCATTCAGAGACGTCACAGAACCATCTTTGGATGTCAATTGTCAACCGTTTTCGGGTTGTCTGGTTTCCCCTCCGGCGGCATGCGGCATGCAACTTGAATGATTTGTCGAGTGGTGGTGCCAGGCGACGAACTTTTGCGAATCTCACCCAGCTTCAATGTTGATTCAATTGATTTGCAGATTGACTAATTGCTTTAGTGACTTTGTCTGACTTTTGTGTAAAACGATAATAAGCCAAATAAGGCGTGTTAGCTGACAACCGATTGGAGCCAAGTGATTTGACATTTTTAGCCCGCTTTCCAGCACTAAGGTTAAATAAAATGTTCTTCATTTTCCTTTTACTTTAATAAACCTTTCGAACACTCTTCCCCAGAGAAATTGAATAAGTTTGTTGCAAGTTTCTTGACTCTTCATAAAGTAGAACCTTATGACTCTTTAATAAGTTGCTTCATCAAAATCAATTTCCCAACACTGGCAAGACCGTTAGCTCCCTGGACAAACAACCGCAAAATAGTCATTGTTGCAGATGAAAGCTTTCAGTCGCCTTGAACCTCAATCATATTTTATTCAGCGGAAAATAGAAAGAAATAAAAAACAAAGGAAAATGGCAAACTCAAGGGAAAACTTTGTTTGAGGTCGCGGGAAGGAAATTGCCTGAGCACCTTAAGCAGGAAAACTAAACGAGGATAAAGGTGGAGAAGGTCCTTTCAATTCATTGAGACTGTAAATTAAATCAGTAAAGACTTTTCATCACACTTAACCTTTAAGTTTCTATAAAAATTAAATTATAAAGTAACTTTATATTTTATTTCCTTTACAGCTTGCCAACCTCAAACATTGCTTCCAACTAAAGAATATACAATTTTATAAATTGCCATAAATATTAATTGGAATATAACGCGAAAACTGCCAAAATAATAAAACACCAACTATATCCAGCACATAAGTATGCTACAGATTTGGTGAGCTCTTCTGATATTTGAGCCAAGCTTTAAATGCCCAGAGCTGAGCTTAGTGGAGCTATATACCGCTCGGCGCTCGCGTATAAGTGATTGGCGCTGGTTCGGAGCTTCACTAACGAGTAGAAGACGCGGCAACAAAATGGACGCTCCAGATGTGGGACGCATTATAAGAGCGCCGGCGAGGCGCAAACGAAACGAAGAACAGCTGATGGATAGGGTAAGCACACATAAACATGTAGTATAAGAGAATATTAAGTATACGCAAATGGCTTAAGATTTAATATACATTAGGGATATAAATATATAGAAAATTAATTAAATTAACTATAATTTTTTTGTAATTTATTGATTGGTAAAGACTTTTAATTTAAAAACCACAAGATTGCGGTTAAAGTTAGGCTTGATTGGAAAGTTTGTCACAGTCGTTTCCCCCTACAATGAACGACCGCCTGCCGTGCAGCTGATCCAGTTTCCCAAGCACCAGTTTTTTGTTTATCTTCTCGGCCTGGAGGGAAAAATGGAAAGTTTCGTCGCATTCATTCATTGATTTAGTCGAACTTCGCCCACAAATGCCAATGGAATGGGTTGTGTCATTTGTTTTATAAATTTTTTCCGATTGTTATATATTATTTTTTATACTTTCTGCTGTCTGGGTTTTGATTAATTTGCTGGAATTCAATGGAAAAAGTATTTTTTCCTTTAAATGCTGACTGGCCATGAGTTGGCGTTGGTGTCTTTCAATTGAAAACAGTCGGTTGGGAAAGTTGCGTGAAATATTACCTGAAATATTTCAATAAATGAAAATTAATAAGTAAAAATGATTAAATGATCAGCTAAAGATCTGAAAAAAATATCTTTTTAAATATCATTCACTTACAGCTACACCCAGCTAATTAGCATCTCGTAGAAAAACACTGAACATCAATCATCTCTTTCGATTGTCACTCCAACGACCCACATTCCGCCCCACACCCAACGCCACCCACCAACCCCGGGGACTAAGTTCATTAACCATCCCCTCCCCCCTGCACCACCTTGCCAGTGCCTCGGGTTGCACCAAAAGGTAACCCACAATTAACGACAGCTCGAGTTTCACGCAATTACTAAAACAAAACAATTGCATTGTTTAATGTCAAGTTCAATGGACGCAGCAGCCAGCGGTCCAAACGCCACACACTCATCACCCACCATAAAATAGGCACAGCCACCCATCCACCCACTCGAAATCCTATTAAATAATAAACTAAATCGAATGCAATTATGAGTTTTTCAGAGCGGGAGAGCCAGGCATAGAGCCAGAGAAAGGCTTTCACGCTCAGAAAAAGCTTTTTAGGGGAAAATTTAAAATGATCTACACTGAAAAAAATAAATAAATCTTTAGATTCATCTTGTGTATAAATAATCTGATTCAGTGTATGATTATTTATGAATACCAACTCTAAAAATGTTTTAAAATTTAAAATGTATTGCTTTTGTTAGCATCATTTTTTCCCCCTCTAGAAAACAGCTGATTTTGAAAGAAATGCTACGATCCCCACTCTCCCTTTACTCTCTCTCTCTCATCCCGAATGCTTTTTCTGTTATTGTTTGTCAGCTGTCTGACTTTGCAATTGCCCGTTAGTTGCTTTTACTTGTGCTCCACTCTCTCTGTGTTTGTTTCTCATTTTCTCTCTTGCTTGGAGCTTTGGCTGCGCGAGTGGCTTGCTTACGGTTTTGCTTTGGTCGCCACTTTTCAGTTACAATTCGAGCTTTTTGGCTCGAGCAACAAGTTTGCCGGGCTCTTTGCTGAATTCTCGTGCCTATAACGCCGTGGTCCCCAACGTTTACCCATTTATTTGGTCGCGTTTCGCCTGGATGCATCTGTATTGGTATTTGCAACAGATTCGCATGCAATTTGTTTTGTGCAACTCGGAAAATTATGAAAATTTAATCAACCACTAAACAAGATACACAAACATCCAACTGCAGCCTACCTGCAGAAATAAATGTAATATTTTGCGGGCCGCAAAAATTCTCTGTCTGACCCGCTTTAATCGTGTTCACATTTGTTTTTTTTTTCTTTCATGTTTCTAATTTGCCCAAAAACTGCCAAATGACCTTCGAGTTTGTTGTTAGTTGTTGTTGTCTCTTTTTTGTACATTTTCGGTGCGTGTAATTCGGTCGACAGAGACGCCAGCGTCAACTACATTCAGTGTATAAACCGAAAAAGCTAAAAAAAAAAAAAAAATCAAAATAATTAACCCACAGTCATCAAGATTTAATGATCGAAATAGTGTTATATAATTTGTAAAACAAGCAAAGAAAAACCGCAGATTTTCAGACGACTCTTTGGGTTAATTAAGTTAAGTGATTAGATCACAAGTCCGCTATGGAAATGAGAATGAATTGAAAAAAAGTGAAGAATAATTTCTGAACAAAAGTCTTATACTTGTCAATAGACTCCTTGCCAAGCAGCCACGGTGGCGTATACGTAATTTATCTGTAGTTGAGTTTTTATGATATTCCCCTGGCGCTTATCAACACTCTGATATGTTGAAGCAGACCAAAAATAAACAATAAAGATAAACAGTCACATTGAGGCACAAAATTTTAAATTTTACGCTTCACAGTGCCCGAAATAATTGTCAATTGCAATTTAATTGGAAATAAAAATATTTGTAAATATAAAACAATAATAAATGAGGCAAAATTTTTGCACCTGATAAGGGGTACTCACGTAAACCCTACAACAACAAATAACAGCTACAAAATTAATGCTAGTTAAGCCAATAAAAAAAAAAAAAAACAAAAACAGTAAAGAGGGAAAAGTTGATAAGCAAAAGAAGAAGGGGAAACGCAAATTTGTGAGCACCGAAGGTGATAAAAATAAAGGCAATTAAAGTGCTGAGATAGATGGGGAAGGTGGAAACTGAAAAAAGTGTGCTAAAAAGAACATTTTCTAGGCAATTAAAAATTGAGAAAAATATTAAATAAACTTTGATCATCTGACCACCAAAACCAACTACAAAGAGAGTGAAAACTGGGGGTGCTATTTGGAACGTAACCCATTTGGTGATGACTGTTCTGTCAACATCCGCCGCAGCAGCTGTTGAGCTTGCTACGCAGCACCTGTAGCTTATTAAATTTCTATTGTTTTTTAGCAAAATGTTCTGTTCCACAAAAGCAATTGACATTTACAATGAAATGAAATAAAATAAAAAACAAAATCATTTAAACAAAAAAAAAATAAGCAAACGTTGACCAAAACAAACGGCAAAAACAATGTAATTGTTGAAATGTAAAATGTAAAATAAAACCCATAAAACACGCTCAACAATAGCCAGTGAAATACGAGTGAGAAAAATTAGTGGAAAATAAAGCAAAAAAAAAGGGTACAGATCGGCTGGATTAATGCGGCATTTAATCATGACCCCGGCGTCGCTGTCGATGTCAACGCCGACGCTTTCCACGCTGCATCACCAGCGCATGGCGCTGCAGTCGCAGTCGTCGCTGACGTCGTCGTCGCAGTCACAGTCGCCGTTAACCCCATCGCCGTCATCGTTTTTTGGCTCGCCCAAGTTCCCAGCGAATTACGAGCGCAGCGAAAAAGTGAGTGCAAAAAATAAACAAACAGAAACCACTAACAGAAAAAAAAAAACACACCACAAAAAATAAAACATCAACACACCCAAACAAAGCTTTTGAAAAAAATTCAGCGACCCCATCATAAATTACTCTATATTGTTCATGAATGGATCCACGAGTGCAGCAGCCGCTTGTTTTCCATTAATTATGCTACTCAGTTTTTTCCCCCCTATTTTCCTTGCCCCTGGAATTTGTTTTTGCATTTTCGCGTTCATTTAATTTTGATGCAAATGTCCCCTCTGTGGGGCACTAAAGGTTCAGTCTTTTTTCAGCGGAGAGTCTCTCGGAGGTCCGGGAGTGAAGTGCAGCTTTTCTTAAGCGCACTTTAGCACATGACATTTTAATTTAAGTTTTACATAGGTTTTTGACTTGATTTTTTGGGGTAATTATAATTTGTACTTAATTTATATTTATTTAATAAATATATGGGGGATTTTGGGGACATGCTTCTCACAAGAGACTATAATTTCGTATTAGTTTTACCTCCTAAATACCCTTATAGGTCTTAATAGACCTTTATTCTGCCAACATTAAAGGATTCCTTATTTATTGATCCAAATATTATTCATTTGATTACTTATTCCACTTGGAAACAAAATAAATATAGTTTTTAATATAAAGAGCCTTTCTACACGCTTCTCAAAAAGTTTTCCTAAGCCTCCTACTTAAAGAGACTTTATTTTTTCTATTATTACTACCCCTTCCTAAATAAAATTGTAAACAGACTAGAAACTACAACTTCGTATTAGTACTCCCCTTTTGACCTTTGTTATGCCACCGCTGAGTGATCCCTTAATTATTAGACCAGCTTTTTGGTCTTGTTTAAGAAAGGTATAGCCAAACGCAAACTTTTGCAAATGTCAGCTAAGCAATTTGCGGCAAACAATTTTCTAATTTGTTTTTCCCTTGACGGGCAACTATCTGGGGAGGGAACCCCAGCAAAAAAAGCAACCTATAGTCTAAAACTTTTCAACGTTCCACTTGCGTAATGCGCAATAATTAATCAGGCAACAACAGCACCAGAGCTGATTTGATTTAAGTTTGATGTCTGTTGCCCTGACGGCTTGTTTTTTTTTCTGTGCTCAGTGTTTAGTATTAAAGTTCAAGGTCAAATTAGCGGATAATCAAACAGCATTTTCGCATGCAATTTGCATTTGCTTTCGGTTTTTTGAGGCTTCTTTAGTGGCGGACTGGGGATTTACCTTTCGTTTTCATTATTGGCAACATTGTTGCAGTTTCGCCTTTTAAGATGAAAATCGGAGAAAAATCATTTTCACAGCCGCTTTGAGCTTTTTGGAGCAGAAAACATTGGCAGTGGGGAGTTTTTCCTGCATTTTCCGTGTATGCAGATGGATGCTTTTCCCCTCTTTCTACACGACTGCTGGACATAATTGCCCCAGCCACGCCCACCACCCGCAAACCAGCCACAAACAGCAACAACTTCATTTGCAGCCGTAATTGTTTTGGCCCATATGATCCACCCCCTCCACCATCCAACCGGCTCACATTGCTCATACGCCATGTTATCTGTGCTGGCTACTTGGGAGATTGAAAGCAAAATGTGCAGCCACTTTGCCGCGGAAAAGCGGCTTCTGCTCGTCTTGATTTTCCTCTTTGCCTAGCCGTTGTTTCTACTCGTTATTGTTCTACTTTTCCGCAGCGAGCTGAGCAAGCCAGTCTTGCCAGTGTCTTCTAATGACCAGGCCCGGCCCCGACTGCGGCCAGCCAGCCTCCTCCTCCTCAGTTGGCTGGGAAAGTGTTCATCAAGTCGGCTTCGTCGTTTATCATATTTCGCTATTAGTCGCAAACGCGACTTTCTAACTGAACATTTTCGAGGCCTGGACAGAAAGTAAAGTGTCGTTCGCCGATTTGTAAGCATTTATCAAGTAAAGTGCTCTTCGCCGGCCTGACTTTCTTGGTCGGCGTCTTCTAAATATGGCCTAAACGATTCTCTACTTATGGCAGTCGAACACAAAGTGAAAACTACACTCCAGCTCGGCCATTCTTTTTTAATTTGTTTGGGAATTGATTTGTCAGCTTTTGATTAAGTGCCATGATGGAAAGATTAAATGGTTTTATTGGGAAATTGTTTAAATTGTTAGTTGGTGTTAAGTTGGATGAAACTGGCTAAGCGGATCTCAATTATCGGGGATGGCTTTTTGATGGATGTAAGTAGCTCTGATCTTGAAGCCTTGCCGACAAAGCAAACATTCAATTAACTTCTCATAACCGTGTTCTTTTAATACCAAATTGTACACTTATCTACCTTCGACTTGGCGCTGACATCATGTAATTATTTTGGCAAATGATTGGCTAATTTGTGCCCTTGTGGGTGGAACTTATCACGGAGCAAGTCTGCCGCCGATAACATGGGGGATCTATAGTTTGCTTTTCATTTCTTTCATCGTAAAAATTTGTGGTGCCAGTGCGGTGTATGTAGGTGTTTCTTGGGGAGTTGCAAGTTAATTATCTGAAATCGTGTGGCAGCCACTGACGGTGTCTCAACGGTGCAAGATTGGCAGGTTATGGCCAGTGGTGGCGTTTTTTTTTCGGTTTTTCCATTTTCCGAATCGTATTTTTTTCGCTTTTCGGGTGACTTTTGTGAAAGGAAACGGATACATTTCAGGCCTTGACTGTTTATCTCTTTCCTTTCGCGCCGACTTTCCACTTTCATTGGCCAGAATTGCCATTGAATGATTAATTAAAAAGATTTATGCTTTAATATCAGTGCCATTGTAATCTCATGCCACTTTTCCGCTTTTCATTTGACGCTCCACATGTCCAGTTCTGAACAGACGAGGTCTTTGTGCAATAACAGCAGCCAGTTTTCCAGATCCAGTTTCTGCCCTACCCAGTACCATAATACATCACAAAAATATCATTTCTTTTTTTCGGAGTGCAGAAAAATAAGTAGAAACTGTATCAATACGCGGCATATGCATTATGAGTCAGGCAGCAGCCAGCAGTCTGCTTGCTGTGCCCCAACCCCAGTTGGCCTCAAAATGTAACAAAATACACTTACCACATACAGTGGAGATTGTCAATTAACCGAAAGATGCCATCTTAATGGAAGGGTCTTGCTTTTATGAGGCAATATTTCTTGTATCATCGAGGAATATACTTTTCTTGAAGTCTTTAAGACTTTATTCTGAAAAACAGACTCCCCACTGTACTTCCATTTCGTATAAATGTTTCGTATAAATGCTGTTTCTGTCTTTGTCGTCAAAATGCATTTTTCCAACAAGACAGCCACAAGCTGCGAGTTGAGAGAAAAAAACGTGCGGCTCGTTTAATTGAAAGGCTTTTGGGGCATGCGACAAAAAACACGACGGATATTGAAAGTCAAAGCAACCGCTCTGGCTCCCGCCTCCCACTTCCTAACTTCTGATCTCCAGATTCCAGGCTTCAAGATTAGACAGAGCCAGCCATTGAAACAATATCCGAGTTTTAATTTATGCCACAGCTTTGGGCTTCAACCGGCTTAAGTCTGTAAGGCCCTCGAACCAAACCGAACCGAACAATGAAGTGAGCTTTAAAGGCAATAACCAACTCACTCACCCACAAAACAAAAACTGCACCACCACCCAATGCAGGCACCACAGCTTAGGACTTAGACTATATGTTATAGGTCTTCTAAGAGTTACTCTTTAATTTTCAGAGGTTTAAAAAAATAAATGAATATTGATGAATCAAAATCAATCTATGTAAAGGATTAAATATTAAATATTAAATACCCTCCATATTATTACCAATAAACTTATCGCTTTAGGGTATAAAGTCTTTGAAACAATTCAGTTTGACTTGCAGTTGGCATTTGCCTTTCTGGCCAGATCTCCTTCGGGTTTTTTTCATTGTTTCTTAGTTTATGTTGCCTTGGGGCGCTAATATATGCTAATCCCGAGTTCGCTTTAGGAACCAACGACACACCCACGCCAGGCCAAAGAAAAGCGCTGGAGGAAAGCTAGGAAAACGGGAGGATTGGTGGGAAAGCGGCAAAAAGCAGACCAGTCTAGAGTAGCCTTTGCTGCTGTTTTGGGAAAGTGGTCGTCGCTGCACTCTTTCCTTTTACTTTCAACTTTTTCCCCAATGCTCTAGAGCGGCTTTTCCTTGATGAATTTGCATTTAAGCTTCTCTTCTCCGTAAGCCGATAGGGGCAGTATACATATAACTTTTCTTGGACTGATCTCGTTTGCTAATTTTTTTGTGCGGCCATGTGGAAAACTCTTGGCCGCTTGGACGAACGCCTCAAAGATGTTTTCCCTATTTTCTCGCTTCCGTCGCTCGTACCTTTTGTGGGAGCAGTCACCCATACTAGTGGTAGTGGTACCTTTTGGATAGTAATTTCCAAAAAAACAACAAACATAGAGTGAGAAAAAGAGTGTTTGGGCCATTTGCATGATTAATGTTTCACTTTTCTTGGGTTGGGCCCACTTGGCTCAGATTTTTTTTCAGTTAAGCTCCGTTGGAGTTGGTCGAAGGTGCCGTAGGGCGTGCCATCATTTACTTATTAGCCATACTATTAAGTCCAATTATGGCTGCCCTCCCTCGGCCAGCCGGTGCGGGTGAAGTGGCAGTCTCTCAAGGCTGAAGTTTCCGGCTAAAATAAGAAATGGATCTGTAGCGCTGAAAGTGAAGGCATAGTAATTGTTTTTTTTCTGAATGACTTAATATTATTCACCAAAACTCCAACTGAAAACTGTTTTCAAAGCTTGGAGTAATTTTCTTGACATTCTTTGAAAGAAATAGAAACCCCTGCCATATCGATATCACAAATACTCAGTTGTTTCCTCTCTATAATTGATAGTCGGGTGTGCTGAATGTGACTTGCCAATCCACATCCGATTTCCTAAATATCCCCCTGCCATATATATCTTATAGAGCTGTCAAAGAACTCACGATAACTTCATGGCATGATAATTACATGACTGGGCCTCTAAACACCAGCATTGTCACCAACTTAAGGC